CATGCCAATCAGGTGGCATGCAGAGCTGCGCAAGATTATTTCAGGGAGCACCACCTAAATCTGTCACGTTCTCCCTCTTTTTCCGCTCTGACCCGCAGTGCTTTGATCAGTTTATTACACGCAGCCTCCAACGGTTGACTATTCTTAGTACTATAGCCTAATTCAACTGGTTATAAATAGGATACAGACATACGAATTTTCATTTTCGCCAACCTTGTATCACGTTGCAAAGTGCAAGCGTTTTATTCTTTAAAGACAGCCCCCATCCCTCAGATCACAATAAGCTTATATTCTCGGGCATATAAACACCGATTTTGACAATCCATACGATAAGAATGTCACCCACCGGTTCTGGCATTTACCTTTTGCCACCCACAATGCAAAAAGCTGTAAAGTTTTCTCCATAATGTTTATTATACCAAGTATAAGTGACAGAACGAGGCATGACTAACGCCAATCTGCCCAACCCTTACACATCAGTAAGCTGGGGGCCCTGCCACCCAATCTGTGCCAACTTGAGGCGTTATTGGCCCTACCCTGCGTCTGGGTGACTAATTCGAGGTACAGGCCTCTGAGCAAGTGTCATGGTCAGACTTTCGCCACATGAACCACGTCTCTTATACAAACTTCTGTAAGCCCACTAGCTCCCATCGCCGCCGCGTCTATCCTGTTTCTATCTCTAATATCAAGTCTATGACTTCTCATACCCTAGCCTCTTGTGTAAAAACCCACAAACGTTGTGGTTCAGCATTGAACCGAGTCAAAGTAAGCATAACCACAACATTTGTGGGTTGGTACACAAGAGGTCAGGGTATGAGAAGTCATAGACTTTGTATTAGAGAAAGAAACAGGATAAACTCGGCGGCGATGGGAGCTAGTGGGCTGACAGAAGTTTATATAAGAGACGTGGTCTATGTGGCAAAGGCGTGTCCATGAGACTTGCTCAGAGGCTTTAGCCTCGAATTAGTCACCCAGACGCAGGGTAGGGCTAATAACGCCTCAAGTTGGCCCA